CCCAGAATGGATAAATGCACCAACCTGAACCTGCGCAAGCTCGTTGCCAAATTGTCAGTTCTTGCTCCAAGGCCTGGAGGTGCCAGAACTGGTTAGGAGTGGTAGGAAAAACGTCTCCACATTGTGGGAAAACAGCTCATTTTGCCAACCTTGTTCTGTGAAAGTTGAACTGTGCCTTTTGAAACACTGGAAAATCTTCAGCATGAACAGTTGAAGTCTAGAAGCAGAAAAGCAGAGGTGTCGGAAGTGTACAAGGCAGAGCTGATGAGGGATGATCCTGCCAGCTCTTTTAAACACATGTACTTCTGATGGCAGTCTAAATGGCTTTGGGACACTGTACACATGCTGTGCTCGAAAGACCTCCTTTTCCTTGGGTCAGGGACAATTTGACTGCTCTTGACAACAGCCCTTCAGAGGCATGGCCATCCTTGTGTCACGGCAATCCAGACCAACGCAAGCTCAGAGTACAGAAACTGTTTCACGTTCAAGAAGTACTCCAAGCTCAGACGACAGAAAGGTTTGGAAAGCAGCTCCAAAGCTTGCTAAACTCTGTGTCAAAGCCCTGGAAGTCTGCAGTATATTTATTTCAGAGGGGACTAAAAACCATCGATGGGAACCACCCAGCAAGTCGCAGTCTGAGGGACTCTCACGGACGAGGGTCCTCACCAATGACGCTTCTGACCTCACAACTTGGGACATGATGAACATTGGAATCGGACTCTGACTTGTCTTTGGCAGGGCCAAGTGCTAGACACGCACCTACCGGGGACAAGCCCTGCCCTGCAGGACAGACCTGCAGCAGAAATAGCAGCACCAAGAGACAAACAACTGACTCAAGGCCACGCCGCCAGCGTAGGAGGCATCCCACATCCCACGAGCTCTCGCCAGGGCCAGCTCTTAGCCTGGTTAAGAAATACCATGACTAGAAATGCCATGGGGGGCAGCCTGCAATGGAGCTTCTAGTATTACCACCTCCAGCAGAGCAGCTTGGTAGGAAAACAGTGCTGGTATTTCTGTTTTAAAAGCAAAGTGTTCTGTAGACAGCCTGTATTTCCAAGGAAGGGGGAATATCTAATCACCTCTGGAGAGCAACCAGGACAACACGCTTTCTATCTGTAATGATAATGATTTCTAGTAGTATCACTCTGTTTCCATTCCTACTCTCGTGGGATTGTCAGAACTGAAAAGCATGTGTGTGTTTTGTGTAAGCCTTGAAATGCTGTGGCCTGGCTGAGTGGGAAACGCTGCTGGAGCCAGGAGAGTGTGAATGTGTTACTCTGCTGGGGCAGATTATATCGGAGATTGATACAGGAAGCGAGAAAAAAAAAAACAGTGGGGGAAACGAGAAGGGAAAGCGGGGAAAGAGCTGTGTGTGCAGGGATTGGGTTTCCTCATTCATGCTGGAACAAAGCGCAGAGCCCCACCAACTGCCTGGCTTGCTGGGATGCCTGTCACGCCGAGGTACCGCAAGTGGGTTCACGCAGGACCTGGGGGCTCCTCGCCAATGCAAGAGTTTGGGGCAATTCACAGTCGCGTAGCTCAGCTCCCCACACTGTCCTGCGAGGCGAGCCTTGTGCTGAGATGAAGTGATTTGCTGAAGGTCAGAGCAAAGAAGAGATGTGCGGTGGAATCTAATCATTAGCCATCGCTCTCTTTACAGGGCCATACAGAATAACGGGTAGGAGACTGACAAAAACATGAGCTGTTTACTCATCCAACAAGGCAAAATATCATCACCCCTACTTTACAGATGGAGTGCATTTCTTCAACAGAGATCTGGAAAGAATGAAGATCCCCTGAGCCTTAGGGCTACTGTTTTATCCACAAAACCACACAAAAGGTTTAAAGTCCAAACAGACTAAAACCAGCTCCATCTCTTGAGTCACTGGCACAGATTCCTCTGTGAGCCACAGTACAGGCTTCTGGTGGCGCAAAGTTGCCTGCTGTAACAGCAACACCTAGATGGGACCCTCTCAGCTACCAGCAGACCCATGGGTTGGATGGACATGGCACATTGCTGCTATTTTTTTCACTACCACTTAAACAGCAGGTATTCTCCAGGAGGACCAATTCATGGGGAGATCCTGAATAACCAGGATAACAGGATGGCAAACAACCTATATTCAAGTTCTCCAAATGGGACAAGGGAAAAAAACATTGCAATTCTATGTAGGAACCGCTGTTTCAGATTCAAGGAGCTGTGCAAAGCCTGATGCTTGCACAGCCCAGGACTGAGATGCAGGAAGCCCAAGTTTAACTCCCGGCACTGCTCCAGCTGTGCAAAGTGATCACA